TGACCTAAATTCCCCGAGTCTGTAGACCGCCACAAAAGGCACATGTGAACAATGGACCCCCAGGACCTGCACCAGTCCGTCACATGGTTTCATTTATTATTGATTCATTTTAGAGTTAATAAACTGTACAGGAGGGTAAGGTCGGGAAACAGCGATGGGAGGATCGGTGTCGGCCGTGAGATCTCAGACTCACCCTGGTCTGGGGCTGGACCTGTTCTTTACGCTCAGAAATAAATGAATCAAATCAAGTTCAACAAAAGATGGAAACTGTCATTCTCTAAGATCAGCGATGGACACAAATGTACCTTTGAGGATTTGTTTCTTTGAACAGTGTTGAACAGTAAGTACAGCTTTAGCTTTGCTGCTAATTTTCAATTAATTTTATATAATAACATCCAAGTGGTAACTTTGTTACTTACGTGGCAATAAAAATGATTCTGATTCTGATAATATTAAAGTATTCAATTAAGAGGATTGTCTACTTCCGGGTGGATCATCGAGACCATTGGTCCTCCCAACTGTCAATCATTCTGGGGATACTTGCTCGTCCAATCAGACCAGAGAGTTTTGTTAAAAAGTGGCGAGGGCGGTTCTTTTCTGTATTTGGGAAAATCCTTTTAAACCTTTAAAATAAAAATGAATAATAAATTGTATTTAATATAATATTGTTTGTCAAACAATATGCGTCAGTTTTAAACAATGTCTCCCATAAAAACATTATAAAACCTGAACGAAAGGTTTTATTTCAACATTAACATTTTAGTAATTTATTAAATAACTTGTTTTCCTTCTAACTGCTGTTCTTTTCTTCCTCTGATGGAGACAACTTATTTTTGTCCATATTTTTGCATAATTTCACTTTTTTAACCTGGTTTTCCAAATTTGGGCAGAACAGGGCCGTGCAGATGTGGTCCCGGGCCACGACCAAAAACAACTTTACAAATAAGAAGCGTCAAAGTGAGACTCGATCAGAGACGGATTCTTTAGTTTTACAGGTCGCACTGAGAATGTCACAAACAATGATGGAGGTCATTTTGATGGATTTTGTTTCGATCGTCACATAAACAAACACTTCAAACATAAAATAAATAATAAAACATATAATATAAAGAAGTACAATCAAAAAAAGGAAGCGGCAAAAGCAGTTTTTTCCAGTCAGTCCTTTTCCAAACCCTTTTAAGACTTATTTGTCTAATATAGCTTAACAAAATATACAAAAACTGTCAATTTGCATTTTCTTTAAATAATGATAAAGAAGTGAATATTTTCAAATCTTCTGTTAATTAATTCCAACATTTCACTCTTGAGAGAAACGACCTGATTTTCAGACAATAACACTGAAAAAAACTAACAAATGTCAGGATCGTCCTGAGAACCTCGTTTGCCAAATTTTATGTCATTTGCAGAGTGGCTGAGTGGTTAGCTCTCCCGCTTCTCGGCAAGAATGTCCTGGGTTCTCTTGAGTGGTGTTTGCATGTTCTCTCCCTGTTTGCAAAGGTTTTCCAGGTTAAATAAAAATATGTCAAAACATTTTAATATTTTTCTCCCAAACGTCACACATGGAACTTGTCTGTACAGAATCCTACTTTTCAAACATCTTCATGACGACTGCTTTGGTTGCGTCAATTTATCATCAAAGCTAATGAGTGGAACATTTAGTCACATGTTTTTGGTGGTGGAAACTGGAGCACCTGGAGGAAACGTGCGCAGACACCAGGAGAACATGCAAACTGTGCTCCAAAAGGCCCTGTGACACGAAGGGTCCTGGGTTTGGTCCCGGATACTGTGAAAAGTGGCCAATGAAATAGATAAGGAAATATGGCGGCCATCTTGCGTTTACAGAAGCGAGAGGACGACCATGTTACGTTGGTCTCGGTCATTAGTACTTTATCTAATACAGATTAATAGCTGGAAGTGGATTGATAAATGTATGTAATATTTATGTTTAAGTTAAAATAGAATCTTCAGAACTGTCCTTAAAGTCTCTATATTTTATTATAACTTCCGTAATAATTTATATATTTTTAGATCTTGTGTGTGTGGCTTTGGTTATTTATAAATGTGGCTGTTTTGTATTTTTAGTTCACACACATGAGTCATGTGACCAGCTCCATTCAGATACACACACACACACAGATACACAGGCACACAGATACACACACACACACACACACAGATACACACACACACACACACACACACACTCTAAGATCAGCGATGGACACAAATTGAACAGTAAGTACAGCTTTAGCTTTGCTGCTAATTTTCAATTAATGTTATATAATATTAAAGTATTCAATTAAGACGATTGTCTACTTCCGGGTGGATCATCGAGACCATTGGTCCTCCCAACTGTCAATCATTCTGGAGATACTTGCTCCAGAGAGTTTTGTTAAAATGTGGAGAGGGCGGTTCTTTCCTGTATTTGGGAAAATCCTCCTAAACCTTTAAAATAAAAAAAATATAATAACTTGTATTTAATATATTTTTGATTGAATATGCGTCAGTTTTAAACAATGTCTCCCGTAAAATATTATAAAAGCTGAACGCAAGGTTTTATTTTAACATTAATATTTTAGTCATTTACTAAAATTCTTTATATATATATATATATATATATATATATATATATATATATATATATATATATATATATATATATATATGTATATATATATGTTGTGTGTTGTGAGACAAACAGAAGAATTCAGTTCTTTTCATTTTTTGTTTTTATTGATTTCTCTGAGAAATGAAAGAAAACAGAGGAACAAACTGTGAGCTCTAGAACCACAAAAGTGCAAACAAAAAATTAACTCAAATAAAAATAAAATAGGATTTGAACCAAACACAGGAGCCCTGACAAAAAATCCCATAATTCTCCCGGCGTTGCCCGCGGCAACAACACTTTTTAACTGCTTTTCTTTTCTTATATATTTCTACATCATTTCACTTTTAAAACCGGGTTTTTCCAAATGTCCAAAGGGTCCAACCTGTGGCCCGTGGGCAGGACAGGGCAGCGCAGATGTGGTCCCAGGCCACGACCAAAACACAACTTTACAAATAAGTCTGAGACTCGCTCATAAAAATATAAATATTTCTTCATCAGCGTTTGTGGTTTTTCCTGATGTTTGTTGCATAATGTTAGTTTTTTGATTGTCTCGGATGAAAATAAACACGTATGAACAGAACAATAATCTTAAAAGATTGTCAAAGCCTTTTTTTTAATCTAAAACAATTCTTAAAAAAAAAAATAAGTGCAGCATTTTCTCAAGGACTCTACACGTCGTGCTTCAAAATAAGTTTGTGATGAGTCTAAATATTAGTGAATAAAAATCTCGCGCGCTTCTGTTTACGTCATTATTGGGGGATTTCATTTGGAAATAAAAAGTGTCATATTTTCATTGTTTTAGATATGGCCGTGTTTCAGTGATTACATCAACTTAACAAATATAATAATAATAACAATAGCAATAAAACAAAAATAATTCTAGATGTGTCCGTTCTATTTCCCGCTCGCGCACGAACGGAGGCCCGACCAGCGCCGTGAAAAAAACGTCCATTCTCCAACAGGAATAAATAAATAAATACACTGTAATATATGCTGGCGTTTTCATAATGTGCAATAAACATCTGTGCAGCACCATCGCTCAGATAAACGTTAGAACAAAACATATATGTGTAAAATAAGACAGGGCCTCAGCAGCAGCAGCAGCAGGAGATGGAGCAGCAGCAGCTCATTACGTCGACTTTGGACGTTTTTAGCTCCACACGCGCCACGCTCCTTTTACATTTACGCGCAGCACGGATTTCAGCGATTTAAAAGATATAAGACTATTTTGTTTCGGATTGTCAATCGCCATGGCAACGGTCTTAGTCTCTCGCTATAGGGGTGTGTGCGTGTGTGTCTGTGTGCGTGCGCGCGTGCCGATTGGAAAGTCCAAATACTGCGATAGAGATACTGTCAGTTTGAATCCATTGCTGACGCACGGACGATGGGACTGTGAGTTGAGCGAGTTTATGGCTATAATGAATGCACACGCACATACATATGCGCGCATACACAAATACACACGTGCGCGCACACACGCACAAAGTCTTGGGAAAGCCACGCGCTCCTCATTGCATTATGTGTATTTCTGTGCTTTTACGCACAGGTTTCCAAGAAGACGCGAGCGTGTAGGCCTGTGTGTGTGTGCCTGTGTGTGCCTGTGTGTGTGTGTGTGTGTGTGTGTGTGTGTGTGTGTGTGTGTGTGTGTGTGTGTGTGTGTGTGTGTGTGTGTGTGTGTGTGTGTGTGTGTGTGTCTGTGTGTGTGTCGTCCTGAGATCAGATATGTGTGTGTAGTGCGTGCTGCTGTCTCCTCGGGACCAACAATGATTAAAGGATTAAATGTACAATAAATACATAAATAGGTTGTGGAAGAATCTTCTGTACACAAATAAATGACGGACGTCAGACTGAGGCTTTGGCAAGTGACACGTCCCTTTAATACGTCCCTTTAACACGTCCCTTCAACACGTCCGAACCCGTGCGCGCCGTGCGTCCCGTGCGTAATGTCAGAGAACACTTTGGAAAAGTACCCACAATCCTCCGGGACCAATCAGAGTACTCTGAATCTCCGGGATACTTTACGTTCACGCTCAGTTGGTAAATAATATACTGTTAATAATAAAATAATATATTGTTAATAATAAAATAATATACTGTTTTTTGATATTATTGTGTTCTTTGAGTCTCTGATCTGTCGTTGACTTTGTGAAGTCCTCAGAGGGACTGATGCTTGAGCAAACATGGAACTGAATGGCTTCAAAACCGCGGCGTGTTTACGTTTGTGTGTAACGCAGGATCCAACACATGTTTAAAGTAACGGTACTCTGATTACGGCCCATTTAAAGTAACGGTACTCTGACGGACCACGGTAAAAGTCTTCAGAAGTGTCTCATGAACGCGTATTCCCGCTCGTGTATTCCGTGGCTCTGCCGTGCACCCTCGAGCACGCGCGTCAGTTGAGGAAGGCGCTGGGGGTCACTCTCTTCTGGAGCATCCCGGGGAACCCCGCGGACACGGGGCTGAAGGACAAAGAGCTGCTCCTCAGAGAGTCCGACAGTCCCGCGGGCGCGTGCCCCGGGGGCGCGTGCGTCCCCGCTCCCCCGAAGTATCCCGTCTGTCCCGGGGACAGCAGGCCCACCGGAGACGTGCTCATGCCGTAAGTGTTCGTGAGCCCCAGCGGCATGGAGCCTCCCAGCTGCTCCACCCCGGGCAGCAGCGGCCCGTACCCGGGGCTCTGGTTCAGGAAGCCCGCGGAGGAGCCGTTATAGTGCGGGTGGTGGTGCAGCGACAGGAACGGAGACAGCTGCCAGTACAGAGGGTTGTTCTGCCGCTCGTTCAGCCCCAGCCCCAGCGGAGAGAAGCGCAGGCCCCGCTTCATGGCCAGTTTCCCGCGGGAGGTGGCGGAGCGCCGCCGCAGCTTCCCGGTGGTGCCTCCGATGAAGACGTCGTCGCTGCTCGGGTCCAACATCCAGTAGTTTCCTTTCCCCGGGTCGTCGTAGTGCCGCGGGACTTTAACGAAGCACTTGTTGAGGCTGAGGTTGTGGCGGATGGAGTTCTGCCAGCCCTGCTTGTGCTCCCGGTAGTACGGGAAGTTCTTCATGATGAACTCGTAGATGCCGTTCAGCGTGAGGCGCTTCTCGGGGCTCTGGCGGATCGCCATCATGATGAGCGCGTTGTAGCTGAATGGGGGTTTGTCGAACTTCCCGTTCTTGGCCCCGGTGCCGCTGGAGGGCTGCTCCGGTGCTTTGGCCGCGGCGGGGTCCTCCTCCCCGGACTCTGGGCGCTCTGGCCCCGGGGGCTCCGGGGGCTCCAGGGGCCCGGGACTGTGTGGACTCCTGGGGCTGCGGGAGTCACAGCCCGGAGAGGGAGACGGCGTGGGGGACGGCGAGGGGGAGGGCAGCAGCAGGCTCTGGATGCTGAAGGACGAGGACCGAGACACCGGGGACTCCTTCACCTCCTCCATCCTACAGCAGAGAGACTCCTTCACCTCCTCCTCCTGCAGCAGAGAGACTCCTTCACCTCCTCCTCCTGCAGCAGAGAGACTCCTTCACCTCCTCCTCCTACAGCAGAGAGACTCCTTCACCTCCTCCTCCTGCAGCAGAGAGACTCCTTCACCTCCTCCTCCTGCAGCAGAGAGACTCCTTCACCTCCTCCTCCTGCAGCAGAGAGACTCCTTCACCTCCTCCTGCAGCAGAGAGACTCCTTCACCTCCTCCTCCTGCAACAGAGAGACTCCTTCACCTCCTCCTTCTGTGATTATACAGTGGTCTGGGAGCAGTCAGAGCGGCTGCATCGCGGCTGAGGACAGGACACTGAGGCGCGTGAGTTGCGCTCCAGACTCATATCTCCCTCTAATCTGCCTCTCTCTCTGCGCGTGCACGGGCCCGGGTCGATGTGCGCGCGTGCGTGGCTGCGCACGGGGCAATAATAGGCGGCTTCCCGGGCTTTGTTTTCACAACGACAATCACTGTTTGAATCCATGTGGGCAAACAGAGTGTGTGAGGGGCCGCTCTCCTCCAATCACAATCCTGGAATAGGACACACATACGCACGCGCGCACACGCACTTGACAGACTGGCATCCAGAGCTGTGTCTGTGACGAGGGCGCCCTCTGTGGGCACAGTGTGGTACTGCAGGAGCTTATACACAAGCACCACTTCCCATAGTTACACACACACACACACACACACACACACAGAAGCACACACACACACACACACACACACACATGCTGAGCAATTATAATAATAATGTATATGAAAATAAAAATAATTAATAATAATAAATCAGTTTTATACAGTGCTTTTTGGACCCGCAAAGTCTCTTCACATCATTATTCATTCAATCCATACGGTGGTGATAAACTACTGTAGCCACAGCTGCCCTGGGGCACACTGACAGAAGTGAGGCAACCAGTCTGTGCCATCGGGCCCCTCCCACCACCACCAACCATTCACACACACACCAGACTCATTCTAATGTGGGGGAAGTGTCTTGCCTAAGGACACAACCACAGTTTGGCACTTTACAGCCGCAGCCGCCCCACTGTGGCACCTGCTGTTCCCAGAGGTCTCCCATCACAGCGCTAACCAGCACTGCTCTGCTAAGCTTCAGAGATCTGGCTTTCACCTGCAGATATGGTAAAGGAGAAACATCACTCTGGTTAAGTTGACATCAAACTATAATCTGTTATTTAAGATAATAATGAAATAATAAAGTTTACAGATGTTAGTGCTGCACTTTCCCTCCGGCTGCACAGCACAGCAGCCGGAGGGAAAGGCCGGCAGAACCTCACACAGCCAGAATGCTTCATTCATCAGAGTATAAAAGTAAATGCTCTTAGGACTAAAGCATTCTGTATGTTTAGAAGTAAGCTATATGTTTGTGTTAATATAAGTCTTAAAGGAACTATACTTGATTTATTTTCTAATGACTTCATAAAAATGCGTATAATTAATTCATTCAGTCATTCATAGTTGTTGAATGTTGTATTATAAATCGTAATTTAATGTAAAACTTGAGCTCATTGATTCAGCTGTGTATGAATTCAGGCGTAAAAAGTGCTGAGTACGAGACTTAGCGTGACGCCCGCTCTATTTACTTCCGCTTCTGTCCCGATTCCGTATATGATCTAGTGCTGACCACAGCAAAACAGCCCAAACTACGCTCGGACTATCTACGCTCGGACTATCTACGCTCGGACTATCTACGCTCGGGCTATCTACGCTCGGACTATCTAAGCTCGGACTATCTACGCTCGGACTATCTACGCTCGGACTATCTACGCTCGGACTATCTACGCTCGGGCTATCTACGCTCGGACTATCTACGCTCGGACTATCTACGCTCGGGCTGTCTACGCTCGGACTATCTACGCTCGGACTATCTACGCTCGGACTATCTACGCTCGGACTATCTACGCTCGGACTATCTACGCTCGGACTATCTACGCTCGGACTATCTACGCTCGGACTATCTACGCTCGGACTATCTACGCTCGGTCTATCTACGCTCGGACTATCTAAGCTCGGACTATCTAAGCTCGGACTATCTACGCTCGGACTATCTACGCTCGGACTATCTACGCTCGGACTATCTACGCTCGGACTATCTACGCTCGGACTATCTACGCTCGGACTATCTACGCTCGGACTATCTACGCTCGGACTATCTACGCTCGGGCTATCTACGCTCGGACTATCTACGCTCGGACTATCTACGCTCGGACTATCTACGCTCGGACTATCTACGCTCGGACTATCTACGCTCGGGCTATCTAAGCTCGGGCTATCTAAGCTCGGACTATCTACGCTCGGACTATCTACGCTCGGACTATCTACGCTTGGACCACATTTGGACATGAAACTAACGGTAATCTTTCAGTTATATATCAGAAGAGCGTAAGTGAAAGTAGGAGGAGAGAGTTGGAGAGCATAGGAGACAGTAGAGGAGAGAGTAGGGGAGAGCCTAAGAGAGAGTAGGAAAGAGAATATGAGGAGAGCCTAGGAGAGAGTAGAAGAGAGTAGGAGGAGAGCCTAGGAGAGAGTAGGAGGAGAGAAGGAGAGCCTAAGAGAGAGTAGGAGAGAGTAGGAGGAGAGCCTAGGAGAGAGTAGGAGGAGAGCCTAAGAGAGAGTAGGAGGAGAGCCTAGGAGAGAGTAGGAGAGAGTAGGAGGAGAGCCTAAGAGAGAGTAGGAGAGAGTAGGAGGAGAGCCTAGGAGAGAGTAGGAGAGAGTAGGAGGAGAGCCTAAGAGAGAGTAGAAGAGAGTAGGAGGAGAGCCTAAGAGAGAGTAGAAGAGAGTAGGAGGAGAGCCTAAGAGAGAGTAGAAGAGAGTAGGAGGAGAGCCTAAGAGAGAGTAGGAGAGAGTAGGAGGAGAGCCTAAGAGAGAGTAGAAGAGAGTAGGAGGAGAGCCTAAGAGAGAGTAGGAGAGAGTAGGAGGAGAGCCTAAGAGAGAGTAGAAGAGAGTAGGAGGAGAGCCTAGGAGAGAGGAGGAGAGAGAAGGAGAGCGTAGAGCAGAGTAGGAGGAGAGAAGGAGGGTTTCTCCAAAGGAAAAGCCTCGTGAGCGAGTTTGGGGGCAGAGCTAAACATTCAAACTGAAAAAACCTGCAGAAACAGGTGCAGCTCCTTTAATAGTCATAGCTAACAATAGTAATCACTTATTCATTAAAAGGACCCTAATCTGTCATCATTAAAGGGCCCTAATCTGTCATCATTAAAGGGCCCTAATCTGTCATCATTAAGGGATTAAAGGATTTCTATCTTTGTGCAAAAAAGGTGTTGGTTATAGATTTGTTGTTGACAAAACTCTTGTCTATTCAGCTGTTATGGCCCCAGCTGGATTCGTCTGCATATCTGGCAACCTGAGTCAGGGAGAGTGGGAGAGGCTGCAGTACCACTTTGGGCCACATTTGGCGTGATTCCTCAAACTCCGTCTCAATTTCTTTGGTGCCGTGGAACATCCTGCTAGGTCTGCTAGGCTAATACTGCTAGGCTAATGCTTCGAGGCTAATGCTGCTGGATTTTAAGAATGCCGGTTGTTTTGGTGCTTTCTGGCGGCGTCAGAGCCTGAAAAATTATCCCAAAGTTCCTGCGGTGGAAACGTGACTATTGTCTTTTTCACCGGACCCCTGAATCCAGACCCCTGAATCCAAACCCCTGAATCCAGACCCCTGAATCCAGACCCCTGAATCCGGACCCCTTCAGTCTGATGCAGGAGGGTCTACGGACAGTGATGATCTTGCCCCCTTTTGGACCAATGGCTCCTACATGTTTGTTATTATTGATTTTTCTTTGTTTGAACGGTTTGATTCTCTAATCTGTTGTTGATTAACCAAGACCTCTGCCATTTGTCCCACAGTCAGAGTTATGACATCACCTTTAATATAGAAACCGATAAAGAGAAATATAACTCTGAAAGTCGATTCTGAATGAGTGAATGTTTGACATCTTCATCAGTTCATTCTGCGTTTCACATTAATAATCCTCATTACGATAAAAATACAGTGATATTTGTGGTCGTTTTGGGTCAGAATGATCTAAATCTATTGAATTCAATGAAACGAAGAGTCGGGCTCTAACATAAAGCCTTTAACATCTTCTCAACAAGAAGGTCCTGGAGTCGTCAGAGAAAGAAGCAGAGATGTTCCAGGACCAGATCTTGCGGGTCAGTCCAGTCTGAAGTGGACCAGAACCAGCCGCCACGGTCCAGGTCTGACCAGGTGGGTCCAACATCATCCATATTTCAGTGCTGCTACGTTATTTCTCTACATTTCTCTACATTTCAGGATGTCTGCGATTGCTGTAACGACGGGAGACGGTAAATGATTCATGTTGTAATAAAATAATGATGTGAGCACACATGCAGTTAGCGTGTGCAGCGTGTGACGGAGCTAAGTGGACACAGGGTCTGCTGGGACATACAGGCGCCAAGGTACAGGCGCCAAGGTACAGGAGCAAAGGTACAGGAGCAAAGGTACAGGCGCCAAGGTACAGGAGCAAAGATACAGGCGCCAAGGTACAGGCGCCAAGGCACAGGCGCCAAGGTACAGGGGCAAAGGTACAGGGGCAAAGGTACAAGGGCAAAGGTACAGGTGCCAAGGTACAGGCGCCAAGGTACAGGGGCTACAAGGGCCAGAGAGAGACCAGAGAGAGACTAGAGAGAGATGTATACATTCAATTATCTATCACATCTATCTATCAGTTATTCAAATCTCTGTTTGAGGAAAGATTATTACTGAGGCTGTAGACCCAGGACTGAGGCTTTAGATCCAGGACTGAGGCTGTAGACCCAGGACTGAGGCTTTAGATCCAGGACTGAGGCTGTAGACCCAGGACTGAGGCTTTAGATCCAGGACTGAGGCTTTAGATCCAGGACTGAGGCTGTAGACCCAGGACTGAGGCTTTAGATCCAGGACTGAGGCTGTAGACCCAGGACTGAGGCTGTAGACCCAGGACTGAGGCTGTAGACCCAGGACTGAGGCTGTAGACCCAGGACTGAGGCTGTAGACCCAGGACTGAGGCTGTAGACCCAGGACTGGCCGGTGCGTGGGGTCAGTGGGTGAATAACAATAGTAATTTGTTTTACTAGTTTGTTTTGGGACCACTGTCACATGAATCTCCTGAACTCCTGTGATATGTCTTCGTAGAGATGACAGTCCAGCCGTCTGTGGATCCTCGAGTCGGGTCCATCATCGGTCTGGCGTGTTGCATATTGACCTGTGGCTCTGCAGTTTCACGGCCCGGGACCGGCTGGTACCCGCAGGGACCTCTCCGCTCGGACTTCCAGGTTTTCCGCACGGCTCTCTCCCCCGCGCTCTGACCTTCTCCTGGTCGGGTTTATGGGCTGCTTTGACGGCAGATGTGGTGCGACACACGGGACGAGTGCGGCGCGGTGTAGCTGCACGTCTGCTGATGCGCCGTGACAGCTGTGGCCTGAGACGGTCCGGGTTTGGGTTCTGGGCTAAAACACGGAGCAGGAAGTGGACTTACTCCCGGTCACAACATGTGTGCTGGTCGTGCGAGTGTCCGAGTGGCACCAGGGTTCACTGGGCTGGAATGAGCTCCTTAAGAATGACACATTTTAAAGATTAAGATTAGAAGGTCCTTTATTCAACACACAGCGGGGAAATGTCAGTGTTGCATCACAAGTTACAGCCCAGTAGGAATGAGGAGCACACAACACAAGTGAACAGAACCAGAATCAATGTATTGCCATTTGCAGAAAAAACTACATTGGAAAACAAACAGGAGACACCGGGGGCACCACACGCACACGCACACACACACACGCACACACACACACGCACACACACACACACACACACACACACACACACACACACACACACACACACACACACACACACACACTGTTCAGTCTAAGGGAGGAAGCTGTTCTAATTGAAATTAAAGTACTCTAGCATCAAAGAAACAAGTATAAATAATCCATCTTGAACACTTGCTTTTGAAAGTGACCTTTTTACCGTTTACTTTTGAATGCACTGGAAACGGCTGAAAGTTCTGCTGTAAACGTCAGTGTCCGTGGTTTTACTCTGATCCTGTGTTTTGTGCTCAAAAGAAAAAGATGATTTGATGAAGGCATAAAGCCAAAACCTCGTGGATGAATAAGACTGAGCTGTGCGATAACAGCCTGTTTACACTGGTCCAGACCAGACCAGACCAGAGAGGACGGTCTGGACCAAGAGCATCAAGAGGAAATCCACTGGAGGAATGCTAATGTTTTTCAGTAAAATGCTAATAAAGCATTCAGAATCTCACTCTGAACCAGAGCAGAGAAAATGGTCTGAGCCAAACCGACTCTGGAGACATGAACCAGAGGAAGTGCTGTTGTACTTTCTGACTATTGTTTTTAGAATGAAGTATTTATGTTTGTGTGGATGATGTGTTTCTGAATCTGTCTCTACATTCCTCCATTGTGAGATCGATAAAGTTTATTTTACCAAATCTCCTTCTCAGCGAGGTGCAGGACACAGAGACTGGACTTTGTAGAGATCGTAGAGTTCCATATTCTTACTATCTCTCTCAAAGAGGATCCCTGACACATGAGCAGTGTGGCAGAGTGGTTAGCACTCGAGTCTGTGGTTCAGCTGGTCTCTCTTTGTGGAGTTTTTATATTTCTTCCCTGTAATAGTCTAGTCTTTTGGGTTCTATGACCTAAAGCAGGCATGTCCCAACCTATAGGGTCCTTTTATATGAAGGAGCTACGCCAAGACAAGGACTAAGCGTGTGAAGAAAATGACGTAGTCTGGGATTGTGTCTTTAATTCAGACAGAAGACATGTTTTATTGTCTATGGTAGAGACGCACGAACAACACGAACAAAGGATGTTACGACTGCAAGTGGTGATATACTCAGGAGAAGCAGAGACCTCCAATCAGCAGCTGCCACAGTGCAGCAGAGAGAGTCAAAACATGAAGTGGAAAAGTACAGGCTTCTGCACATTGACAGAATGATGAGTTTAACTTTAACAAAAGTTGCTTAAAAGTGTTATGAAATCTCACACATGTGTAATTCTCATTACACTAATGTGTATACTCTGGCACCTCTAGTGGTCGGGGTGGGACAGTGCATTCTGATAAATTTAGAGTCCTTGATAGGTTTGTTGATGAGGGACATGTCCTGGGTCTACAGCCTCAGTCCTGGGTCTACAGCCTCAGTCCTGGGTCTACAGCCTCAGTCCTGGATCTACAGTCTCATCCTGGGTCTACAGCCTCAGTCCTGGGTCTACAGCCTCAGTCCTGGGTCTACAGCCTCATCCTGGGTCTACAGCCTCAGTCCTGGGTCTACAGCCTCAGTCCTGGGTATACAGCCTCATCCTGGGTCTACAGCCTCAGTCCTGGGTCTACAGCCTCAGTCCTGGGTCTGTGATCATCCCGTTCCCGTTGGACCGATGGCTCCTGTGTGTTTGCTATTATTGAATTTCCTCGACTGTTTTGTTCTGATCTGTTGATTTAGAATAATTGGTAAAATCCTTCGAGACGACTGCTGTGATCGAGGGCGATTTACAAATACATTGGATTTAATTGAGCTTCTTGATAAGTCTAATGATCTCGCTTCACAGAGTCTAATGATCTCACTTCACAGAGTCTAATGATCTCACGTCACAGAGTCTAATGATCTCACATCACAGAGTCTAATGATCTCACTTCACAGAGTCTAATGATCTCACTTCACAGAGTCTAATGATCTCACTTCACAGAGTCTAATGATCTCACGTCACAGAGTCTAATGATCTCACTTCACAGAGTCTAATGATCTCACTTCACAGAGTCTAATGATCTCACGTCACAGAGTCTAATGATCTCACTTCACAGAGTCTAATGATCTCACATCAGAGTCTAATGATCTCACATCACAGAGTCTAATGATCTCACATCACAGAGTCTAATGATCTCACGTCACAGAGTCTAATGATCTCACATCACAGAGTCTAATGATCTCACATCAGAGTCTAATGATCTCACTTCACAGAGTCTAATGATCTCACATCACAGAGGGAGCAGTGTTTTCTCTGTGGCCTAAATGTGTTTACATTGAGCGTACGCCTGGGTGAGTGCGGGGCCCCGGGCTCCAGAGCTCCGTCCTTCCGCCTTGTTGAACCCATCACAGGCTGAATGCAGACGTGAGAGCTACCACACACACACACACACACACACACACACACACACACACACACACACACACACACACACACACACACACACACACACACACACACACACACACAGCAGATCAATGGGCTGCACTGAGAGCTGTAAACATAAGCTAAAGGACGATCGAAAAAAAAGGCCAAAACACCAGGTTTGGAACAAGAGAGAGAGAGAGAGACTGCACACAAACAGTCACTCTGTTCAATGTGTGTTTGTATCGCTCTAAATCACAACAGTGGTTTTCTCAAAGGACTTTACTAAGCTGTCGATTCACCAACACAGATCAGAGAATCACACACAGGAAATTCAAAGATAAAAACACAAAGAGACATTGGTTCATAAGAGGCAGAGACCAATGTAAATATAAATATAACATATATGTCCATACTGTAAACGTGGCCCAGACCCAGGGCTGAGGCTGTAGACCCAGGACTGAGGCTGTAGAAGAAGAAGAAGAAGAAGAAACTTTATTTATATAGCACCTTTCACAGATAAAATCACAAAGTGCTTCACAGGGGCACAACAATAAAAGTTACAGAGCAATCTTAAAACAAATTAATTAAAACAATCACAGCCTTTTCAACTAAAAGCTCGTCCAAACAGCCATGTCTTCAGCTGTTTTTTAAAGGAATCGACAGTGTCGGTCACACGTAGCGACAGAGGAAGGGCATTCCACAGTTTAGGAGCAACAACTTCAAAGGACAGGTCACCTCTGGTTTTAAAGTGGGTCCTTGGGACAGCAAGGAGGTTCTGACCCAAAGACCTAAGGTTGCGACCGGAGGAGTAAGGGCACAGCAGGTCAGACACGTATTTGGGAGCCTGACCATTCAGCGCTCTAAAAGTCAATACTAAAATTTTGAAATCAATTCGAAATTTGATGGGAAGCCAGTGCAGAGAGGATAAAATAGGAGTAATGTGTGACCGTCTGCTAGAGCCTGTTAAAAGCCGCGCAGCAGCATTTTGAACCATTTGAAGACGATTCAAAGCAGATTTGTTAAAACAAGTAAAAAGGGAGTTACAATAATCTAAACGAGACGAGATAAAAGCATGAATCACCAATTCTAGATCAGATTTGGATAAAATTAGCCTCAACTTGGCAATGTTTCTCAAATGGAAAAAACAGTTTTTGGCCAAGTGTCTCGAGTGGCGGTCAAGGGACAGAGACTGGTCAAACCAAACACCAAGATTTCTGACGCTCGACTGAACCGAGGAGCCCAGAGAACCAAGGTGGTTTACAATTGAAGGAATTTTTTGCTCCGGAGCAATTATCAAAGTCTCAGTCTTTTTAGAATTCAACTGAAGGCAGTTTTCACGAAGCCACGACTTTACACTTGAAAGACAATCCATTAACTCTGACAGTCTGTGCAACTCTGACTCCTTAAACGAAAAATACAGTTGGATATCATCAGCATAGAGATGGTAAGAAACATTTTTAAAACGGCTAATGGTTTTTCCAAGGGGGCTGATGTACAACAAAAACAAAATAGGTCCCAAAACAGATCCCTGAGGAACACCGTGTAACAAAGGAGTAGCTTCAGACATAATGTTATTTATACACACAGAGAAAGTTTGTTGGTCAAGTAGGACGATAACCATTTAAGGACAGTTCCAGAAATGCCAAAGTCAGTATTGAGCCTCTGTAGCAGTAATTTATGATCTACAGTATCAAAAGCTGCAGACAAATCAAGCAGGATCAATACAGAAAACTGACCAGAGTCAGCAGCCATTCGGATGTCGCTGGACACTTTTAGTAAGGCAGTCTCAGTAGAGTGCATTTTACGGAAGCCCGATTGAAATTTATCAAACCTTTCATCTTTTTGGAGAAAAGCAGACAACTGTTCTGCTACCACCTTTTCCACAACTTTGGAGAGAAATGGTAATTTTGATATGGGCCTGTAATTGCCAGGCTCAGCTGGGTCCAAATTGGGCTTTTTTAGGATAGGACTTATCGCTGCCTGTTTAAAAAAGTTTGGAACAGACCCAGACATAAGAGAACCATTTGTCAATTCAACAACATGTGGGGCAACAATGTCAATGACCTTATAAAATAAAGTTGTGGGTATGATATCAAACGGACAAGAGGAAGGTTTCATTTTTTTCAGTAACATCATAACATCCTCTAATGTCACAGTAGAAAACACAGACCAAGAGCAATCAGTAGAAATAACATTAATGGTGTTTGAGTCAGGCGGTTTCACATTTGCCCTGATCTCATCCACCTTGTTCACAAAGTAATCCAAAAATCTGTTACAGTCATCAATTGAGAAGACAGGCACCGGAGGAGACGAAGGTGAAACGATTTTATGAATCGTGTAGACCCAGGACTAAGCCTGTAGACCCAGGACTGAAGCTGTAGAACGACGACTGAGTCTGTTCGGTGCAGGACTGGGGCTCCCAGGCGGGGAGCGGGGTGCAGCAGGTTATCTACTGCCCGTCTGTGGGAGCGGGTCCTTCCCCCTTTGTGGGTCTCTCTGAGGTTTCTCAATTGATGCAGGAGGCTCTAAGGCCAGAGATGATCCAAGATATTTCTGGACATCTGTCTCTGCCCCTCATGGACCACTGGCTCTATGTTTTTTTTAATCAATGCATTTCCTGTGTTTGATTCTCTGATCTGTGTTGGCAAATCGACAGCTTTGTAAAGTCCTCTGTTGTGATTTAGGGCGATACAAAAATAAGTAGAATTGAGTTAAAAGAAGAAGATCCAGGGTTCCCATCATCGCAGCATGAGGCAGACAGAACAGAAACAGCTGTATGCAGATTTACAGGAGTCTTCATCGACCTCACTAAACCTCCGGGTCTGGATGATCCGGTCTTCACTAGCACTTTGTAAACACGGCGTCAGTAGCGTCTTAGTTCCAAGTGGACGGCTCCCATGCTCTACTCCTGCCTCCTCCTCTTCCTCTGCTTCACCGAATGTAGGTCAGTGTGTTTCTGCCCAAATACTACGGTCCCAGAGGCGGGCGCCATGGAAACAGCCCTGTGTTGTGATGTTTGAGCGAGGGTTGCTATGGATACGGCGACGCTCTTCCCGTCCACGTGCTCCTCTGTTTTTACGCCGTCCGGACCATAACAAAGAGACATACACAGGGACTCACAAGAGAGAGGGGAATTTGTGGCGGCCATCTTGCGTTTACAATATACTCAGGAGATCATTTGTGCACTGGAATAAAAATCCCTGTGAAAAACAAAATACTGCTCAGAATAATGAAAATGATCTGTCAATAGAACAAGAAAATATGACTTAAGATTTTCAAGGTAAGGCAAAGGTAAAGATGCACTTTATTGATCACATTCAGAAAACAAAACTTAAAATAAGCACCATTTATGTGATTTTTTGTGAATGAATCTAACCAAGATTTTACTTTTTCCAGTCTGTCTTTTAACTGCCTGTGATTGGCCAGAATGCTGCTGGAAACCATGGTTACCAAGGACTTTGGTGATGGAAACACAACCAGAGTAGAGTAGAGTAGAGTAGAGTAGAGTAGAGTAGAGTAGAGTAGAGTAGAGTAGAGTAGAGTAGAGTAGAGTAGAGTAGAGTAGAGTAGAGTAGAGTAGAGTAGAGTAGAGTAGAGTAGAGTAGAGTAGGGTAGGGTAGGGTAGGGTAGGGTAGGGTAGGGTAGGGTAGGGTAGGGTAGAGAAGGGTAGAGTAGAGAAGGGTAGGGTGTTTTGGGGCTGTTGCAACACTGACTTCCAACTCGCTCCAAAGATGTCGCTCCCGGACCCTGAAATGCTTCTTACAAAACCACTCCTTTGTTCCCTGTGTTTGGATCATTGTTGTGCTGAAAGATACATGGCCCCATTCAGTCTTTCCTTTACACAGATCAGTCGTCCTGGTCCCTTTATAGAAAATCAACCTCAAAGCATGATATTTCCACCCCCATGCGTTACAGTAGGTATGGTGTTCATTTAGATGCAACGCTCCTCCAAACACAACGACTTTTTACCAAAAAGTTCTATTTTGCTTTCATCTGATCATGTGACATTGTCCCAATACCATGTGAGATCATCTTCAGAGGAGGCTGAGGTCCTTCTGAGGAGGCTGAGGTCCTTCAGAGGAGGCTGAGGTCCTTCAGAGGAGGCTGAGGTCCTTCTGAGGAGGCTGAGGTCCTTCAGAGGAGGCTGAGGTCCTTCAGAGGAGGCTGAGGTCCTTCGGAGGAGGCTGAGGTCCTTCAGAGGAGGCTGAGGTCCTTCTGAGGAGGCTGAGGTCCTTCTGAGGAGGCTGAGGTCCTTCTGAGGAGGTTGAGGTCCTTCAGAGGAGGCTGATGTCCTTCTGAGGAGGCTGAGGTCCTTCTGAGGAGGCTGAGGTCCTTCTGAGGAGGCTGAGGTCCTTCTGAGGAGGCTGATGTCCTTCTGAGGAGGCTGAGGTCCTTCAGAGGAGGCTGAGGTCCTTCAGAGGAGGCTGAGGTCCTTCTGAGGAGGCTGATGTCCTTCTGAGGAGGCTGAGGTCCTTCAGAGGAGGCTGAGGTCCTTCTGAGGAGGCTGAGGTCCTTCGGAGGAGGCTGAGGTCCTTCTGAGGAGGCTGAGATCCTTCGGAGTGAGCAGGCCTCTGCTCAGGACTTTTTATGACTCTGTAGCCTCTGCCATACACTACGCTGCCGTGTGCTGGGCCCCGGGCAGCACAGAGCGAGACAGGAGGAGACTAAATTAAAGCCGCAAGCGGCGTCGAACGGCCCTCGCCGCACCGCGCAAAGGAGGTGGCGCTGATGCGCCATTTTCCTAATTCCTATGATCAGTTACAAAAGCAATAGGCCCTTACCGCAGTTGGGGCCCCTAACAAGCTGGTCAGGAGGAGGGGAGGGACACTGTTTCTGGTTGACACTTTTCATTGTACATAACTTATCCTGCGTTTAACATGTTGCACATTTCTTTCTTTTGCACAATCTGAGTGACGCCAGATGTGAGATAAGATAAGACAGACTTTATTGATCTCACAGAGGAGAAATGTACACGTCACATCTGGCGTGGGTAGAAACACTCCAGATTCTGCAAAAAGAAAGAAATGTAAAAAATGTAGTCTCTGCAGGATCTGTGATGTCCAATCAAAAGTGTCAGCAGCAGGTTTCAGTCCAGTGCAACTGATCTACGTCTGTTTTCTGACAACGTGTAAAAGGTCTAATCTTGGTGTTGTGTGAGGTTGTGTGATCGATGCCCACAGGGACACGGGAGAACTGAGGCGCTTTGTGCTTCATCCAATCCCTTTAATCAGAAGCAACTGTGGCATTAAAGCTGTTGTGTTGTGCGTCTCACTGTAGCTGTGACATTAATGCTGTTGTGTGTTGTGCGTCTCATGTAACTGTGGCATTAATGCTGTTGTGTTGTGCGTCTCACTGTAGCTGTGGCATTAATGCTGTTGTGTTGTGCGTCTCACTGTAGCTGTGACATTAATGCTGTTGTGTTGTGCGTCTCACTGTAGCTGTGACATTAATGCTGTTGTGTTGTGCGTCTCACTGTAGCTGTGATATTAATGCTGTTGTGTTGTGCGTCTCACTGTAGCTGTGGCATTAATGCTGTTGTGTTGTGCGTCTCATGTAACTGTGGCAATAATGCTGTTGTGTGTTGTGCGTCTCATTGTAGCTGTGGCATTAATGCTATTGTGTTGTGCGTCTCACTGTAGCTGTGACATTAATGCTGTTGTGTTGTGCGTCTCACTGTAGCTGTGGCATTAATGCTGTTGTGTGTTGTGCGTCTCACTGTAGCTGTGACATTAATGCTGTTGTGTTGTGCGTCTCATGTAACTGTGGCATTAATGCTGTTGTGTGTTGCGCGTCTCACTGTAGCTGTGACATTAATGCTGTTGTGTTGTGCGTCTCATGTAACTGTGGCATTAATGCTGTTGTGCGTCTCACTGTAGCTGTGGCATTAATGCTGTTGTGTTGTGCGTCTAACTGTAGCTGTGACATTAATGCTGTTGTGTGTTGTGCGTCTCACTGTAGCTGTGGCATTAATGCTGTTGTGTTGTGCGTCTCACTGTAGCTGTGACATTAATGCTGTTGCGTGTTGTGCGTCTCATTGTAGCTGTGGCATTAATGCTATTGTGTTGTGCGTCTCACTGTAGCTGTGACATTAATGCTGTTGTGTTGTGCGTCTCACTGTAGCTGTGGCATTAATGCTGTTGTGTGTTGTGCGTCTCACTGTAGCTGTGACATTAATGCTGTTGTGTAGTGCGTCTCATGTAACTGTGGCATTAATGCTGTTGTGTGTTGTGCGTCTCACTGTAGCTGTGGCATTAATCAATCAATCAATCAATCAATCAATCAATCTTTATTTATAGGGCGCTTTTCCTGCACAGGGCAACACAAAGCGCCTCACCGTCCACACCACAAAATGCACAAATCATCACCATTAAAATACAATTAAAAACACATATGTAATTAAAAAGCATTAAAATCACATAAGTAATTTAAAAACATAAGAATCACACAAGTAATTAAAAACAATAAAATAGTTAAAACACAAAAAGTTACAACAATAAATAACAAGGTGTGTTAAAAAGATAAAATTCTTTAGTTGTATGCACAGGAAAAAAGAAAAGTCTTTAACATGGATTTGAACATTGACAGAGAGGCAGCCAGTCTCACATCCTCAGGAAGACTGTTCCAGACCTTAGCTGCATAAATCTGAAAAGCAGCCTCCCCCTGTCTAGTCCTGACTCTGGGCACTAACAGGAGTCCCGTCCCTGCGCTCCTCAGAGTCCGGGCTGGTTCATATGGTACTAGCATATCATGGATGTACTTTGGTGCGAGGCCATGGAGAGACTTGTACACCAGGAGAGCTGCTTTAAAGTCTATTCTCTGGGCCACGGGAAGCCAGTGCAGAGACCTGAGGACCGGACTAATGTGGTCGTACTTCCTGGTTCTAGTCAGGACTCGGGCTGCAGCATTTTGAATATACTGCAGCTGTTTTACTGCATGTTTGGAGATACCTGTGAGCAGGCCATTGCAGTAATCCAGCCTACTGGAAACAAAAGAATGGATAAGAATCTCCAAGTCTGCCCTGGACACAATATTTTTAATTTTGGCAATATTTTTCAGATGATAAAAAGCTGCTGATGTTACCGATCCAATGTGGCTATTGAAGTTTAAGTCAGAGTCCATTATTACTCCCAGATTTCTGACCTTATTTAAAGGCCTTAGGGAGAGAGACTGAAGGTGACAAATGACGGTCTCTCTTTGTTTCTCGGGACCAAAGACAATCATTTCCGTTTTGTCCGCATTTAGCTGGAGAAAATTGCATTGCATCCACTCACTGATCCGCTGGATACAGCGAAGGAGTGAGTCCACTGTTGTGTGTTGTGCGTCTCACTGTAGCTGTGGCATTAATGCTGTTGTGTTGTGCGTCTCATGTAACTGTGGCATTAATGCTGTTGTGTTGTGCGTCTCACTGTAGCTGTGGCATTAATGCTGTTGTGTTGTGCGCCTCACTGTAGCTGTGGCATTAATGCTGTTGTGTTGTGCGTCTCACTGTAGCTGTGACATTTGTAATTTGTAATTTTCTTTATTTAGAGAAACAGGGACAGTGTACAATAAACATTAACCCCAAGGGGAGAGATGCATTGTACCAAGTTATAGCTCAAGAGCTAATTTCCACCCGTAGTCCCTGGGCAGGCTGGTGTTATAGTAAAAAACATAAAAACATCATGCACACATGGATAATGGCATTTACATTGATCAAGTTCATAATAGTAAAAGCAAATCTTCACATGCACAACAATCAGATACAAACTCTTATACACACCTTTCATTTACTCAGGTCTACTCTTTTAGACCTCAGAACACACATACAGACATACATCCAGTTACATGTGGATGCAAGATTGATTTGACAGGAGCCATTTCTTTGCCAGGCGTGAGAATGTGTAAAAGTTAATGCTGTTGTGTGTTGTGCGTCTCACTGTAGCTGTGGCATTAATGCTGTTGTGTGTTGTGCGTCTCACTGTAGCTGTGGCATTAATGCTGTTGTGTGTTGTGCGTCTCACTGTAGCTGTGGCATTAATCCTGTTGTGTTGTGCGTCTAGCTGTAGCTGTGACATTAATGCTGTTGTGTGTTGTGCGTCTCACTGTAGCTGTGGCATTAATGCTGTT